ATCAAGCTTTAGTGCAAAAGCCAAATTTGGTGGTTTAATTGACACTGTCAAATTTTGTGAAGTTTGTACTACAAAAGAATGTTCAATGAGACTTGTCTTCCTTGGAAGTAAACTTACTGAACCTTTTGAAATATTTCAGTGGGGTCACTGTGGTGTAGGTTTCGTTTTGTGGGAGCCATGCCCCCCCTCCCAAGTTTTGAAAATTTTAATTCATAGTATGTAAATATATTTGTAAAACAAAGTTGGCCCTCCTAATTTTTTACAATTTTAGTATATATTATAAGAGTTTATATGTGTGTGTGTGTGTGTGTTTATATATATATGAATTAACAACCTTTGAAGTGATTTTTTTCTTCAAAAAAGTTATTTATTCTTTACATACCTTTATAATTAAAGTTAATATTTGATGTTTTTAGATGTCATATATTTAAATAGATGAAAATTATTTTGATTTTCGAACATAACATATTAAGATAATTTTGTTAGGAAAAATTTTGGCCCTCCCTCCCAGAAAAAAATCCTAGTTCTGTCACTAATTTGAAATGCTTGTAGGTGGGATTCATCCATGGTGAGAGTATGATAGGTAGTCTTTTTTTTTTCTCACTATATTTGATTTGTGTGGATAACCAATGAAAATGGATTAGTGATCGTTATTTTTGTGAATGATTATGAAAACAAAATACATTATGACAATAAGATACGTAAAATTATGAAAATTACAATTCAAACGGGTTTTAAATTTTGGATATGTGATTTTCATAATGGTGAGTTTCTTAAATTATCAATTAGTTATTACTATCAGTCGTGTGATAAGTTTCAGTGATAAATATTAAAAATGATTTGAGAGTTGTAGATATGATTTTGTAGAGGTGGTTATTATTCATTAGTTAAAATTTTAGAGTTTTGATTTTGTGGGTTAGTGGATCACGTAAATTGAAAAGTGGGAAGGGATAAGGAGAAGCAATAAGAATTATTGAATTAAAATAAATCTAAAATTATAGTAAAAAAGGATTCAGATTTCTGACGCTTGTGGAGGCTCATCCTATAGATCTACCCATTGTTGATTGGAAATTGGAAACCGATATTCGAAAGAAACAATTGCTTAATTACAGTATTGATTTTGGAGTCTGTATATTTTCTGGTGATTGTGTTGAGTATTGTCCAACAAATTATTTATCAATGACTGAAGATATATGAACTTTCTATTTATGATCGTCACGAATTGAATTACCATCAATTTTGTTGGGTCACTTACCAACATCAGTAATTGATGACCTCGGAATGAAAGAAAATTCCGAATCCGCTTTGTCTACGAACAAGAAAGCTATAAGTAATGCAATTATGAATCTCATGGAGAGTTTGATCCTGGCTCAGGATGAACATTGGCGGCATGCTTAACACATGCAAGTCAAACGGGAAGTGGTGTTTTTAGTGGCGGATGGGTGAGTGACGCGTAAGAACCTGCTCTTAGGAGGGGAACAATAGCAGGAAATGGCTATATATATATATATATATATATATATATATATATATATATATATATATATATATATATATATATATATATATATATATATATATATATAACAACAAGATTATCAAATCGAATGCATAATGTTTGTAAGCATTTCATTTTAAAATCAAATAAAGCATGTGATTACATTCATTTCTATCCATCTATCATTCATTTTCTAATATAAATTTTTATTATTATTTCAAGATCCATCTTTAGCAAAAATGCAGTTCTTGAATGATGTACACATTTTATCATACTTTGAACCATTGGTAGACAAATCTTATATTTAAATTATGTTCGTACAATGTTTTTTTACTTTTTTTTTATTTCACCTTCTCTTTTAATTTCTTTCAATAATATCAACACCGTGCGTAGCATAGGTATTCACACTAGTTGAGAGTATAAAATTAAGATTTACTAAATAAGTTTAAAAATAGAATATGAAAAAATACATATTACTCTATAAAAAAATCATATTGGTAGTGGATAATTATCAAAGATAGATAGATTTTCATTTATACCAAAATTTCCCTCATCATGGGTAGTTTAATTAGGAAGTATATAAAGTATGTTTTTTTTACCCCAAACCCTCTCCTTTCCCTTTATATATAGTATAAATAATTATAATTTATAGATATTATTATATATATATTATATATATTATATATATATAATTATACTTATATATGGGTCGGGTTTTAATTAGACTTGAGCCTATTATGACCCAAAATCAGCTCACATTTAATTCAGTTCTAATATTTAGGCCCAAACTCTATTCAACCCAATTAAAATTTAGGCTCAGTGAGCTTTTTCAGGTCGAACGGGCCAAGCATTATAACCATTGTTTAACCATTTAACTTATCGCAGCTAAATCAATTTTAACCATTTTTCTCCTTGATTAATAAAGATTGATTTGCCAAAATTGAGGAATAATGTGATTAGTCCCATTTTTTAATCATTTACATAGTAACTTTTTTAGCACTTTCCTTCCGGCATATACATAGATTTGTCAAACATTCAGATGACATATCAAATTATAACCATTCTTTAACCATTTAACCTATTGCAACTAAATCAATTTTTTTAGCCTTAAACTTATCATATTAAACGATTATTTCAACTAGTGAAATAAACATGACATTCAACGTCATCTAGATAACTTTTTACTTGGGCAAAACTTCATTTGGATAATTTGGATAATTTTTCATATAACACGTATATCAAAAAGTTCACATAAAACAATATTTTTATATGAATTTTAAATTAATAAAAGGGGCATTTATATGGTTTTTTTTGAAGTTTTTATCAAAAATTTTAAAACAAATATTAGTTAAAACAATTATCTTGGGTGGTCATCATTAAAAATAGTAGTATTTCACCAAAATTCTACCCAATTACTTTCCTTGATGACAATAAGTCTAACTTTTTATTTGAAAAAAAAACACATGAAAAGTGAGCTAACGAATCCTAAATAATAAAAAGGAATAGAAAGATAGGAATATAGAGTTGGAAATGGTAAAAGTAAGGTAACAAATCTTAAATAGTAAAAGGAATATAAAGATAGGAATATAGGGTTAGGGAGGATAAAGTCAAGAGAGTTGTAGCTGTGGGTAAAGTCATTGAATACTAGTGTGTGCCCCCCCCCCAAGTTTTGAAAATTTTAATTCGTAATGTGTAAACATATTTGTTAAACAAAGTTGCCCCCCCCAATTTTTTATAATTTTAGTTTATATTATGAGAGTTTATATATATATATATATATATATATATATATATATATATGAATTAACCACCTTTGAATTGATTTTTTGTTCAAAAAAGTTATTTATTTTTTACATACCTTTATAATTAAATTTAATATTTGATGTTTTTAGATGTCATATATTTAAATAGATGAAAATTATTTTGAACATAACTTATTAAGATAATTTTGTTAGGAAAAATTTTGGCATTCCCTCCCAGAAAAAAATCCTAGTTCCGTCACTGATTTGAAATGTTTGTGGGTGGGATTCAACCATGGTGAAAGTATGATAGGTAGTCTTTTTTTTCTCACTATATTTGATTTGTATGGATAACAAATGAAAATGGATTAGTGATCGTTAGTTTTGTGAATGATTATGAGAATGAAATACATTATGACAATAAGATACGTAAAATTGTGGGAATTGTAATTAAAACGGGTTTTAAATTTTTGATATGTGATTTTCATAATGGTGAGTTTCTTAAATTATCAAATAGTTATTACTATCAATCGTATGGTAAGTGTCAGTAGTAAATGTCAACATGATTTGGGATTTACAGATGTGATTTTGTAGGGGTGGTTATTATTAGGGGTGGCAATGGGGCGGGGGACACCTCGCCCAACCCCCGCCCCATTGCATTTTAATTCCCCCTGCCCCGCTTCCCCCGCGGGGGCACCCATGGGGTTAAAAAAAATTTATTATATAATTTCATTATAATTAAATTTGGGCAAATAATCAAGCACTAAAATATTAACACATCACCAAATTATTATTCATTATAACTTCACAATTGAAACTCATAAAAATAATTAAACAAAGGTTATTTGAATACAATCTAATATAATAAAACAAATATAACTAAAATAATCAAGTTTTCACTTTTGATACAAATACAATCACTAAATTATTATTGTATTTTTTTTTAGAGAAAAAGTGTTGTTGTCTTAAGTGTAGTTAGGAATTTAACATAAATGTATAAATAATTAATAATTTTTATTAATAGACATGTATAATTAGTAGTATAATTGATAATATCATTATATATATAATTATGTACATATATATATTTTTTCAAATGGGTGGCGGGGCGGGGGAGTATACCCCTGCCCCCCGCCCCGTTTCTAAACGGGGGGAAAAAATTCCCCCCCACCCCCCGCGGGTGCTCACCCCCATTGCCATCCCTAGTTATTATCCATTAGTTAAAATTTTAGAGTTTTGATTTTGTGGGCTAGTGAACCAGGTAAATTGAAAAGTGGGAAGAGATAAGGAGAAGCGATAAGAATTATTAAATTAAAATAAATCTAAAATTATAATAAAAAGGGATTCAGATTTCTAATACTTGTGGAGGCTCCTTATCAAAAATCTGTCCTTTAATACATATAGATATAGATTTTTTTTTTTTTTTTGCCATACCTTAGTTCATGTAAGAGCATCTCATTGTGAAAGTAAAGAAAATCACACCTGACATAGTTTGAGTTTATTTTAAATGAAAGGGATCCCAGCTATCTATTGTTCCTCCATCCTTCCCTGCTCTTTTCTTTTCTTTTTTGTTTTTGCTTCTATTTATCTTCATCGTTGATCTTTCTTCTTTCTCCTTTTTTTGAATTTCTGACATAGTCATCACCTCAATGCAACATGTTAATAGCTTCACAAATACAATTTTAAATTCAAAATTAAATAGGTTAAATGAGCTCGTGATAATAACATATGAAAAACATAAATTAGTTATTTCACTGTGTTCCTTAAATCTCAGAAAATTGAAGAATATTTAAACTGGGAACATAATGTTGCTTTGTCTGTTAACAATATTGACAGCAATGTTGTCCTCAATTGTCAATCCAAAGTATTCAGTGCCATATATAAATTTATTTTAGAAACCGAGCGCTTTTTTTCCCTGTAGAAGAGGACAAATTACAAGAAAATTTACAAGTTATCTAAAACCATTACAATTTGCCCACAAGTTCAAAACATAAAATCAAAGAGGCTTTCTCAAGATGAAATCTTTTGAGCTTTCACGCATATTTTTCTTCAGCAGAAGGGGAAGATTTTGAGACCACAACATCCGACATCCTGTCCGCACCCGTCCAGGCCTTGGGCACGCTCCAATCATCTTTAGGCTAAAATATTTACTTGCATTTGTTTCAAGTTATTGCTGATTAGCATGTAATTGTTGATTGTAAACAATAGCATAGCTAATTCCTTGCATAAGTCCATTATGCAGTGGCAGACCCAAGATTATAATTTTTTTCTAAATGAGCCCATAAGTGATATATACTTCACCATAACATGTAGTAGTATTATTTTCAATAACTGGTGTACAAAAAACAAACCTTCAGAAATTGACCTTTTCTGTATATGCGGTGAAAGGGTCACTTTTAGATTTTACATTGACAGTGCAAAAGATTTTAAGAAGGATACAAGTTAGTGCTTGTCATAATTAATATTTAAATCTTTTTGTTATTCCCCTTGATATACACTATATATATATTAAAATCATAAAATTTTGGAAAAGGGATATTAAGAATGAAATATCTTACAAAATTTGTCCTGTCACTCCCTTCTTTTAAAATAAAAAGATATTGGAGAAAAGAGTTTTTATGTTTCCAAGTGGTAAAATCATTCTTTTAGTGGGTAAAGAAAAAAGTAGTAGTGATTAAGTTATTGATCAGTCAAGGACTAACCTAAATGACGAATTTATGAAACCAATACAGTTCACCTTATTTTAATGTGTGTTTATTTAGTCTGTAGTGAAATAAATTAAATTGTTCTTCATCAATGAAACAAAATGATGATGGGTACACCAGAGTGTAGGTTTGCATGTTGGACCCACACTACATGGGTCTTGAACAAATATAAAGGTCCAACGTCTATTTACGTCTTTAGGTTGGTAAAACAATTCCTAACGCCCCTTTTTGGGAAGCCCATTTACTAGAGTGGCTTTTTGGGTACCAAGCAACCCAAGTTCCATGGGTACTTGTAAGGTTTTGTTTAAGCCCATAGAATTGAAACCCTTCGTGCAGGATTGCCCATGGTTTGTGTGTAATTAGTGTTTTTTTTTCTCCCTGCATTTGCTTTAGGCTAATAAGTGTGAAGTGCAGAAATGAGTTAAATAATATTAAAGCTTACCAAAATCAATCAGCAACAAAATAAAATGAGCGAGTCTATGAAAAGTTTAAGTGCTTTTATGTTTAAAAAAATAGAAACACCACCATCATCAATAAATGTGCGCAAGGAAAAAATATGAAAAATACAAATATCAAATATTTCTACACCCTATTTTTATGCAAAGTTAGATAGGTATATATGGATATAAAGCATCTATTTCATGGATGGGCTTAATCATAGGGTCAAATTCAAACTCAAATCTTAGCCCAAACTAAAGCGGACCCGTTTCTACAAAAGTAAACAGATAAATAAGAAAATAAATAAATAGAAAAGTAAATGAACTAAGGGTCCGTTTGTTTCGGGTGAAAATGTTTTCCAGGAAAATATTTTCCTAATTTCCCGTGTTTGGTTGCACAAAAGTTACTGAAAACATTTTCCTATGTAAAATATTTTCACTCATTTTATGGAAAACAACTTCCCTTCCAAACTTACTAAAATTGTTTTCCGAAATGCATGTATCCCGCCTGTAGTATGTTCCAAACTTATTGAAAATATTCTTTTTTTTTTTAGTGTAAACCTAAGACCTCTTCCTTACACTCCCTCCCCCGTACCACCCAACCCAACCCTCCCCCTAGTATATTCAAAATAAAAAAAAAATCTAATCCTACTCATCCTATGCTAGTAATTAATTATGTATAATAGGGACATTCTTTTCTAGAGAAACTTTCAGCAGTGAGAGTGCAAGGTATATGTCACAATAAGCATTGCATGTGATTGATATTTGACACTAAATGGCCAGCAACTTGTTTATTGTTTAAGAAGATATTTTTTATTCATATATACATTTCTCTAAGATTTTTTAAAGTTAAACAATGAGATAAATTTTCTTATTTTGCATGGGAAGAAGTATGTAGTTATAATGTGTAGAAAGTAAAGATAGAGATAAAAGTGAAAATATTTCAAAAGTTAAACAAACACCAGAAAAATGAAGTAAGAAAATATTTGCAATAAACTAACCAAACACCTGAAAATGATGAAAAGGAAATGATTTTCATGGAAAATTACTTTCACGGAAAATATTTTCCCAAGGAAAACATTTTACTTCCAACCAAACAGACCCTAAATGATATGGGACTGCTACATCATTTCCTTGGCATGGAGATTTATCAATATGATGATGGAGCCTTTATTTGTCAAAAAAATATGCTGAAAAATTCTTGTGAAGTTTCGCATGGTTGATTGTAAACATTTGGTCACACCACTTGTTGCGAGCAAAAAACTTATCAAAGAAGATGGTGAAAAAAAAATTGATTCTACTTTGTACAGAAGTTTGGTGGGAAATTTGCTTTATCTTACAGCTACAGGGCTGGATATCATGTTTTCTTCAAGCTTATAGTCTAGGTTTATGCCAATCTCAGAAGCAATTAAGAGAGTATTAAGATACATCAAAGGGACACCCAACCACATAATCAAATTCAGCAAAGGCGCTACTTTAAATTTGCATGGTTATTGCAATAGTGATTGGGGCAGATGCCTTCAGGCTATTATTTTTTGCTTGGTTCTGGACTATTTTCTTGGACATCAAAGAAGCAACAAAGCATGATACAATCATCCACTAAATTACAATTTGGTATTTTACCATATAACCCTCCAATTGTTTAAAATCTTATAGATAACATCCTCATGATTTGATTTAAAGTGTCACCGTTAATTTTTTTCGTTAAAATTAATGGTCAATTGTAAACAGTTAAAGTTAAACTAATATATTGACAAATCTACCATTTCATTACTTTTAAACCATAGGGGTTTATGTGATAAAGTACCAAACCACAAGGAGTAATTTACCCTTCTTTTATCTTATGCTTTTGAATTAATTACCTGTACATTGCCTCCTTGAGTCCATTTTAGTTGCACTTAGCGTCTAACCAATTTAATAGGCATTTTAACAGGTTAAAAAGTTTCTGTGAATACATATATAAAGAACGAAAATAACAGACACTTCCTAGACATTGGATTTGTGAAATAAAATCGTTCTCGTATTTCATTTCTAATGTCTTTATATAACTCTCTAATTTTTTTTTGTGAAATAAAATTATTCTCGTATTTCATTTCTAATGTCTTTATAAAATCCTCTAAATTCTTTTAGCTCAAATCCATTAGAATATTGCAAAGATCTTCCTATTTTTTTTAATCAAACTATACATCAACAATGTTGATTTCTAGATCGAAGTACAAACAAAAGGAAAGAAATATCCCCAAAGCACAACTTAATTGATAGGAATGTAAGATAAGTGGTCATGAAATTCCTAATTCGATTCTCAACTCCACTTCTTTTCCTTTTCCATTTTGTAGACCCTTTAATTATGAAAAATTAAAGAAAAAGAAAAAAAAATGGGACAGTCTCCAATAGCTGTGCTGTCGAGTCGAGTTGAGCTCGAGTAGTACCATACTCGAGCTTGAGCTCGAAGATTATGAGCACTACTCGAGCTCGAACAAGCCTCAAACTTCATACTTGAACTCGACTCGATATAGTTAAAAAAACTCGAGCTCGAACTCGTATAAGATTCGAGCTCGAGTAGCTCGTAAAATGAGCTCGAAAACTTGTGCAAAAAAATCTGTGCTTTCCTTCATTGTCCACACAAATAATGATTTATGATTTATGAAATCCCTACTTTGTCCACACAAATAAATAAAGGTGGTAGAATGGTTCATTGTAAATTTCATAAGTTGTTTACCTATATTAGTAATTATATATATAATTTTTTATACGATATTCGATAGAACTCGTCAAACTCTCGAGTATCATATATCTAAGATCGAACTCGACTTGATAGCTCTAACGAGCAGCTCGAGCTCGAGATCGAGTTTGGTTGACCAAACTCGATCTCGAGCTGCTGACCAAGAAGCTCGCGAGCTCGAGTCGAGCTACTTGGTTCAGCTCCACCCCTAGTGCACTCTCTAGATTTCAGAGTAGGTGTAACTACAAAGGAACAAAAGAATTGAAGAACCGTTAGAAGCCATCATCATCAAGTCTCGACTTATTCTTCGTCGGGATTCTCGCAATAGTTGATTTCTGAGAATCAAAAAGAAGTCAATCTCACAACAAAAGAAAGGCAACCTCTATAAACGTGCACAACTTATATTTTGGGGTTATTATCACTTTATCCCCTTAATGTTTGGTGCTGCTATCAATTTTTCCCTTAACGTTATCTTTTAATCACTTTACCCCCAAGACTAACAGTCAAATTTAACGGAGTTTGTTAATTAAAGTGAAAAGACACGTTTAACCTTTAAAATTATTATCACTTTACCCCCATAAAATATAGTCTCATTATTAATTTACCCCCTAGAGTTATTTTTTTAGGCAATTTATCCTACCATTAAATCAACTTAGCAAGTCAAAAAACTTTAGAAGAAAATACTCTCCTCTTTGCATAATAAAAATAATAAAAAATTTAAAGTGACTCTTCTCTTTTTTAGTATCAAGAAAAAAGTCAAAGTATTAATATCTTTCTTCTTGGCAATCTTATTAATATTAAAAAAATAGAAAGATGGAAAGAGGGAGGGGGAGAGGGAGAGGGAGAGAGAGAGCTCAATTCTTTTTTTTTTAATTACAAATAAAAAAGAATTAAATACTTTTATTATTTTAAAATTATTTCACTTTTTTGTTTACCACCAAATTCCAATCCCAATCTCGACAACCTTAAAAAAATACGATAATGTTAGACTTTTCTTTATTTTCTTTTTTTGCAAAATCTAATGTTTTGTCTCCTTCTTGCCTAGCTCTTTTTCTTTTCCTAGTATTAATAAATATGAAAAAAAGAAATTTGAGAAAATCTTTTTATTTTTATGTTTTTTGATCTCTTAAATTGAAAAAAAAGGAAGAATAACCATTTCAACTTTTTTAATTTTTAATTATATATAAAAAGGGTAAATATATTTAAAATTTTTTGACCATACTAGTTAAATTAACGATGAGGTAAAATGCCTAGAAAATAATGTTAGGAACTAAAGTGATTGTATC